ATGATTGTGGTAAGCTAGCACTAAGTCCGTTCCCCGTCCGTGTTTACTCTTTCCTTTATAATAAGGCTCTCAAATAAATCATGGTTGTAGGGCAGTGAAGCATCAGTGTTGAACTTTGATGCCATGCTGTCGATGGTGATGATGAAACGCTTGTCTAAAGCAACCTAAGGTGTCCTGGCCCCACTATCCACAATGGCAAACGAGGCACAGTAACCTCAGAGATGTAGACTATCGCTTCCTCCGAGGGGAATTTCCTTCGCAGGAAGAGACGAGTTGAACGACATGTTCATGTCTTGGAAGTGTAGCTGAAATAACTCTGAAAAACACTATTGCTATTGAGTCGTTTGGTATAGAAGATTCTGAAACATGCAAGACTTATACCGTCATATTTTACATTCAATATGTTGCGGAGCGGCAAAATAGCTTACTGTGAGCGAGTTTCATCTTGCTAATATCGTATTCTTTTGAAACAAAAACCGTGCCCATCACAAATACCCCGACGTTGATTCGCAATAATGGATAAAACAGGTTGGCTTACTTGTGTCGCAACACATCAAAAACGGGTCAGTTGATGCAAGAAAAGCTGACAGCAACCCGTTTTTTACCTAGTTTTTGATCTGTTGAGCGTCATTTGATTAGTCTTGATACTCAGAAACGGTCAATGAGCTCACACTTTGTTCAACACTTACGTTAAGGAACAAGTAACCCTACAGACTGTGAAGCCGCAATCGCTCTTGACCATCGCCAGTAAGATTGGCCCAACTAGCGACCACTTGCAACATGTTAGCAACTTTCTGGACAAAAAATGGCTCGACGGACTTGCTAAACTCAGATCCTCCTTGAGGTATCCACCGTTTCATCCAATTCTACTCTACCGGGGGGCGTCTGGATCCTGCCTACACCGGTAACAAACCCATGGTCAAACCCTTTATCCTTTCCAGGTACATCGTAAGTGTAAGATCCGGGCGGTTATGGATCTCACAAGACGATTGCGGCCATTAGATTGTACTCAGTTCGTAGCCAGTAGTCAATAGGAGCAGACAGACGTAGGCAGCAGATGCTGTATTGAAGACTGACGGGAACTGGTTAATCAATAATGACGCGATCAGCAGGCAGCTCGTGTCACGTGACAAGTCAAATTGCGCGGTTTCGCCCGTTGAAAACAAATCTCGCCAAAGGCTATCTGGCAGGTGCGGTACATGGGTAATACAAAATAATGAACAACTCCAGGTGTCGGGTTGGTGTAGTGGATGTCGCATTCGCCCACCGTCCGGGAACTCCGGGCTCCATACCCGGTCGCGCCGGTTTCCCGTCAGAGTGGGTGCTCGAAAATAGGTACAACCGAGGCACACTTGTAACCAATGACGGACGGGAAACAAACACTGACGTCAGTTACTGAAGAATAAACAGACCTTAGGTAGGGAGGAAACAGGGGGAAAAACGAACCACAACTAGAAAACGGCATCATAATAAAAGGGCGTAAGTTGCGTTACTTATGAGTGGTCAGAACGCAAGGAAAATTACCATGGTTCACCGTTGATTTACAGGGGGAATCAACAACAGGTGTTTATGATTTCTCAAGCATCGGTAAACAATGACCTTAAGCTGTTAGCGTGAGGGTTCATGGTACTAGTACGGTGACATTTACCAGGATGTCGGCTTGCAAGTGATTTTCATGAAATCGGGAACCGCCACACAAAGAGGCCGAAGTAAGTCCGTTGCGGGAAAAGGATCGTATGTACAGAGAACTGCTGTATGTGTTTTTCGATGATAATGCCGCAGCCGACACAAACACTCTTCATTTCTTCTATCACAGGAGTATCTAGAAGCTTGCTCCGATAGTTCGTCCGATGAACCGCTGGTTCCAAAATCGAAGGTGAGTCAGCGTAAAACAGTTGACCTTGACTTTGATCACAGTGACCCAATTCATTTGAAAGGGTGCGTTAATCTTGATGGATGGAGAACGTACTTTTTCACGTCTCCTCAACTTTGGACTGAGTGAGGGTGTTTTGTTAGCCTGGAGAAGAAATATGCTTCATACCGTGACAACCGGTTTCACCATTCTTTGATATGTCTACTTCTTAGGTTCATCACTTCTTCAGCTTTTCTCCGATTATCCTGTTTAGATTCCAGGTTACTTTTATTCAAAGGAATCATTTGATCCTAATGGCTAACTAATTTAGGAGCTCGAGGCTGTGCTTAGTGATGCTACTCTGTAACACGTGGCTAAATATACCCGTGGTAGTCATGAGGACGAAGAAGGTAGTGAACAAAGCTTGTTTTCTGTGATTGTTCCTCTTGGCTAATACATCACAAATTTATACGGTATTACAAATCACGTGGAAAAGGTTAAGATCGAGGCTACATACACTTTAGAGAAATATCAAAGGAAGGGGGTTGGATGAGGGATAGGTCAATGGGTCACGGAATCAGGTAAGTGACGTCAATGTCAGACAGACTTGTGGGACCGGATGTTTCGTAGGCTAGTTCAAGTTCAGAGGTCGCACAAGTTTCTTTTGGACTCAAAGTTGTGGATCCAGCAGTCGGATTCCAATCGCCTCTGCGATCGATAGTAGTCTGGATCGTACCAGTCGTGATCGGTTCAGAGGTACCTGGTTTGTGATGGTGAAGGCTTGCTCCTTGTCTATGATATGACATGTTTCGGCCAAGGGTGCTTCAATCGCGCTTGAGCCTGGTTTCTTCCCACTACCACTCACAAATAGGGGATTGTGTTCTCGCATTCTGTCCGACAAATGCCTTGTCGTACGACCAACATATGATGCTCGACACGAGCATACAAATGAGTACACGCAAAAGCTGATGGTAGAACGTGGCATTTGTCCTTCAAGCGGAATTTTTTATTGGGGACGGAGTTGAAGCTCAAGCGCAGATCAGCGGCCAACAGAGTTTCTAAGCCTTTTGGTGATTAGTTCAGCAGCCGGGTCACCTTCGAATGGAAGCGTCCTGTAAACGGGCTTCTTCCCAACAGAATATTGTGTATGTTTGGGTTTAACGAACCTTTCAGGATATCCGTTTTGCAGGAATGTGCGTCTCAAGAACTTTAGTTTTTCTTCTAAGCATTGCTCTCTCAGTCAGGCATCTAATTAGGTTGCGTTTTTGTTGCAACGGAACGAAGCTATCAAAGTGAATATACTGACCTTTCCACGTTTGCTTTCTGTGGACTTTGCGTTCTATGGTCCCGTCAGTCTTCTTTTTAACATTGACATCGAGGAAACTTGAATGTCCGTTCTGTTCTGATTCGATAGTAACCTTGATTGTGACTTCATTGAGTGCACTGGTAAGGATATTGGAATTCCCATCTCGGATCTTAAGGAACTCCTGTTCCTTTGTATCTACAATGTTCAGTTTACTTTCAACAATCAAATTTATCGATAAAAGGACAGGGTCGCGATGGGTCTCCTCTAGGCCCCATGTTGGCGAATTTTTCATCACCAAACTGGAGACTTCAAAATTAGATTGCGTGACCCATTGACCTATCTCTCTTTCGACCCCCTTCTCATTGATTTCTATCTTCTAAAGTGTATGTACACCCGATCTTAACCTTTTCTACGTGATTTCTGGTATCCTATAAGTTTGTGATGTATTAGCCAAGAGGAACAATCACAGAAAACAAGCTTTGTTCGCTACTCTGTAACAGTTTATGAATATATAATATCATGAACCTGTCCATAACGTTCGAATCCCCATCTGCATTTCAGCATGACAAGAAAAAGCCACTCAAACAAAAACTGAAAAAAGCCCGACAGGTGATGGGGATGATTGATGAAGCGATGGAAGGAATTGCATCAATCATGGAAAAGTTTGAAAGGTACGTTGTCCGGCGCTGCTAACGGATGCAACTAGTGTCCGTTCAGAAAACAGGGTTGATAGGATTGAAACATATTCGAGTCTTGAAAACAAGGCGAAGAATTAGAAATGAGCAGGGACTGCTCTTTTGGAAAGAGTACGTATCCCACTTGGAGTGTTTCATCCAGAAACGACTCTAGACGATTTTGTTCACCCATGAAGGTTTCGCCTTGTGATTGTGTGTCAAGATCTGCTTCCCTTTATCTAAGATGGACGACCCAATAAAACGGAGTGCTAGGATAGCAACGGACCCAGCTATGTGAGGAGAGATATCAGGATGGAACGGTTGTACAGTGCATGCGGACTTTTTAGACCGGGTTACCTACATTTTGGGTGCAAAAATCTCAACTGAAACCATAAATTCCTCACTACCGATAGATTGTGAGTAGTTTGTTCAGAGAACGAAAGAATTCCCGCACGACCTCCAATCCTGGAAGTTGTCCTTCGGAGAGCTGCTCAACATCGGATCATGTGGAAAAAACTGTTTGCTTGAACGGCATTGACGATCGCGTAAGCCGATCGGCAGATCGTGACCCAGCCGGATAATGCTGGACCAATAGCTGGAAGGCCATTGGTTGAATTCACCCGGGAACTCCAAGAGATGGACAGTGTTGGTGGGTAGAAAATGCTTCCTAGTGGTTTACTTTCATTTGTGCTAAGACTGAGTAGCGATATTCTCATTAACGCGTCGATGCGATTACCAGTTGCTCACAGACAGTCAAGCACAAAACCAGAGGACTTCACACGCTTTTCACTCCACCGCCATACAACGCAACGAAATGATTTTTTGCCATCAGCTGAAACGAAAAACCAAGAATTCTACACAAAATCTTACAGAATTCTGCTTAGAAGAAGCGGCGTGGCACCAGAAAAGGATGAAGAGACTGGGCTGTATGGGCACTCTAGTGTTCGCCGAGAGAGTTTTTCAAACATGTGTCCTTATCATTTCGCCCAAGAATCACTGTGACTCATGCCGAGATGTTTTAGAGGTTGTCTAATGGTGCCAACGCACCTAAAGATTGAACTCATCAGGGTCCTAGGTACGGGGTCAATGTTGCTAGTTCGTTTGTTCTTCAAGTTAAAGTAATTTATAGTCCAACTTGGAGGTCCTCGAATCGGGGTAGTCATAGATATAGCTCAGTGCAGTCATCCGACGGCCAAGAGAACTCGGAAACCTGCAACAACTCTGGAGTAAGAGAAAACAGAATAGATTCATGCGCCACTTGGAGTCCACAGTGGACCTAGTAACGAGCATGCTACTTCAGGTAGGGTTGGACAATCCCAACTTTTGGACATAAGATGTATAGATAACTAGATCAGCGAATATTAAGCTAAGCAGTCACTGTTCAGTCTACACTAAACGGGGGTAAGCATTGGACTCGAGTCTCGTTATCATTATAGCTCATTCTGAGTTTCCGTGTGAGGGTGAGAGCTCTCCTCTCCAAAAGCTTCCGTAGACCAAGCGATGTCCGTCAGAGATGCCCACTCTCTCCGTTCCTTTTTAACTTTGTGACTGATGAAATAATGAGACGAACGCTAACGGTTTCCAAAACCCTGGTGTTCAAATAGCCTGTGAAGAAAACCTTGTCGATCTGGAATATTCAGACGACATCGTTCTCATGTTCGAAGAGGAGGCGCAATTATTCTTGAACGAACTGACCAAATTCATCCTGTCCTTTGGTATGCACCTTGCACCCACAAAGTATAAGGTCCTGTTCGTGAACGTGCAGTCGCTGAACGCGCCGCTTAATATCCAGGGAGAGATACTGGAAGTTGTGGAACGTTTTACGTATCTTGGAAGCTGCATTAGTTCTGATTGCATTGTGACAGAGGAGTTGAATACACGAACCTGCAAGGCTCGGGTCGCGTTTGCTAACTTGAGACACCTATGGCGTCAGAAAAATTTATCCGTGAATCTGAAGGGACGTGTGTATCACGCTACAGTACGGGCTGTTTCGTTCTCATGTTCGAAGAGGAGGAAAAGGCGCAAGTATTCTTGGATGAACTGACCAAAGTCATCCCGTCCTTTGGTATGCACCTTGCACCCACAAAGTATAAGGTCCTGTTCGTGAACGTGCAGTCGCTGAACGCGCCGCTTAATATCCAGGGAGAGATACTGGAAGTTGTGGAACGTTTTACGTATCTTGGAAGCTGCATTAGTTCTGATTGCATTGTGACAGAGGAGTTGAATACACGAACCTGCAAGGCTCGGGTCGCGTTTGCTAACTTGAGACACCTATGGCGTCAGAAAAATTTATCCGTGAATCTGAAGGGACGTGTGTATCACGCTACAGTACGGGCTGTTTTGTTGTGTGGCTGTGAGACTTGGCCTATTCGAGCAGCGGACCTGAGACGTCTTTAGGTGTTCGAGAATCGTTGTCTCAGAACCATAGCTCGTGTGGGAGTATGAAGGAGATCACGAAACGCTTGGGTGCTGTCGGTGCTACTCGCCATCGAGGATGGGGACCGCGTGATCCTCACTGTGCCTGGTTGGAGACACTACGAGATATGGCTTCCAACCGATGTCAAAGGCGTTCTTGTTGTCAGTTTCTATCCAGATCGCTTGAGTGAATGTCTGGAGGTGTAGGCACCTCGGAATGATTGTGGTAAGCTAGCACCCCGTCCATCTTTACTCTTTTCTTTACAATAAGGTTTTCAAACGAATCATGGTTGTACGACAATGAAGCATCGGTGTTGAACTTTGATGTCATGCTGTCGATGAAAGAATGAATGAGTTCAAGCCATTGTGAGATTGTCTGGTCGGGAAAATCTGAAGTAGACAGACTGATTACTGGCTAGGCAAATTTAAGGCGTGATGAGTTCCAGTCAACTATTAACAGACCGGCTTGATACCGATCTACAACAACTTTCATGCCAAACTGGACCGCATTGTTGAGGGCCTTCATTGATGAGATCAAACATGATGGAATTACAACTGAAGCTTTGAACTTGTTCCTCCCTGTTGAACTTTGTTCACTCATACAAGAGGGCCATAATTCGGCAGTTGATGCCGAGTGGAGCTGAGTAGACTCAAGGTGAAATACCGAGCCGAAAGACCCCATTGGTGACAGGTGTGCCTCTGACGAAAGTGGCGGTGGCAACGACTCAAGCGTTGCACGTTGTGCGATCACATATATTCGTTAGTTTAACATGTGAATGTCTTTTATTGATCTGAAAATGTCAGTAGTTATGATAAAGTAGATCGTCTCTACCAAAATCTCACCGGTAATCAGTTTCATCCCACCAATACTCGGTTTATTTTTGAAAAACTTGGAAAACAATTTGGAGGTGTGGGTATTGAGTGAAGCAGCCCAAATAGATCAGAGATGATCCTTCAGACGCATCCAGCAGTTGGTGTTGCTGGATTAGTGTTAGCATTCTCGTCTTGCATGTTTGATGTCGCGGTACAGATCCCAGCATTCTCAAGGATATACATTGCGGATAACCTCGATTCGGAGAGAAACTTGAGCCCAGTGCCTCCTCTCTCTCTATTGTTTACTGATTGGAATAATTGCGCCAGAAAGGGGACCGTTCGGACAACAGCTCAGGAATGTATGTTTCGACAATGGTGAGCGCAACCCTTTACATATCAGTAACAGTATTCACCTAACGGATACCTTTATCGGCTCATCAATCATGAAGTCTTGAAATGACACGACAGGTTGGTCGATAACTCTTCGAAAGCTCACTGCCTGCTTTGCTTATTTTGTGGTCTATCGGATGAGTCTACTTCATAAATTTGTATCAGTCTCATTTGTCAACTGAATACCCAACCTAAAAAGACTTGTCTGAAACACAAATGAATCACTTGTTTCACATCATCTTGATATGTAGTGTACTACTACACCCAATCCCCATCGTTCTCATGACAAGCTGGATCTGGCAGGCAGACACGTTGTGCGCTGTCCACATTTTTCCATGTGGTATTCACTCCCAACACCTCCCCTGTCATCCACTTCCTCATGCGATATATGACCCACAATTCCTGTAGTAGTCGGTACTCACCAGCGTCTGTCCAGAAAAACTTCGTACCGCCTAGACTGTCGAGGGCTAGTAAAAGCACCAAAGTACGATGGATGCTAATCCATTGAGGTTTCCCCGCGTGGGTTCGGATGCCATCCCCGTCGCCACTGTTGTGTCTCTTCACCTCCCCTGACGCTACTGGGTTATAGTCAGAAGACAAGAAGGCGACCAGAAGGAACTGTCTTAACGCAATTACAACTTTCCATATAGATGAATCACTTGTGACCGTATTTGATGGTCGATCCACTGTCAACCAACCAGTGTCTCCGGCACGCCCAAGCCGGTTCTCCGGCGGTTGTTCCTTTGTCTCGGTTGATCATAAATGGCCGTCTGTGCTTGGTCATGGAGTGGACGTGAACTTTCTGTGTCCCGTTTTGACCTTTCTCTGGCACATGATGGAAACGGACGTGATTTAACCGTGTGGGCGTAATCTCACGGCCCTGTTTCACATGGTTGTTCCGCTGCGCAGTAGGCTGATGCGCAGCCGTATAAAAAACCCTTCGTAACTATCGCTTCTGACTTGAGTATGAACGCTCGCCTCGGTTACCTGCGAAGTTTTGGCAAACTGTAGGTATAAAAAGTTTTAATTGTTTCAAAAACAAATGCAGCTTGAAGTTCACCGACTCGTGCCTGTCACACCGATTTGCTACTGATCGGCGTAGTTATAGAACAATGCCACAAGGATTCTTAGCTCCATCCTACAAAAACCAAGTTATCAGACCTAAGGTAGTGTTAGACGGGACAACGTATTTTTCCGCTCTGACAAAACTTTACTCTCCTGGTAAATTTCACCCTCGTTTTTCTCCTAACGTGGACAGAATGAAAATCTTCCAGCGGAACTGTAGCAGAAAGTCTGTCCTGAACGACAATCGACCCGTCTAATTCTTCGTTTCTAAAGCGCCGATAAAAGTTGGGGAGTCCTTTGGAGGGGAATAGTAGGGCATAAATCGATGAGGGAGCTGATGGTTCTGATGAGTTGTTTCTTTTGGATTTTGTCACACTAAAAAAACTGTTTACACCGGGGCATCCCTAGTCTAGATAAAAGAGGCGGCTCCGACCATAGTTCGAACAGACACGGGGGGTTGCAAACTTGTACGAAAGAGGATAAACCCTGCTTCTTGTTTAGGACTGTCTCCGGCATAAACCTAATCACCTTTCATCCAGATCTTGCAGTTTTGACAGCCATTCTCCAAAATCTTGTCCATCTTTCAGTATATGCAAGTGGCAAGTTCCGTGGTTGAGTTTTCTGGTTATGCTCTTTACCCTGTCCGTGGGCATCCTGACTTACTTCGTCCCACTGCGCTACCTATTGGTTTTCTACGGTGAGTTCAATGAAGTCAAGTTGGTACTGGTAATTTTCTTTCTTTCTGGAGTGCAAAGACGATACTGTGCATTAAATTGTGGCAAAACTAAAATGCCATGGATACAAGTGGATCAAAATCAAAACCACACAGATTCTAGTTTTTAAGCCAGTCATGACCATATGCAGCCGTATATCTCGCCATACTACTTATTAGGTCGCTGAAGACTGATGAAAATTTATCATTTGAGTCTGCCGTTAAGTAAATTTTCAAGTGAGTGTACAACGCCACTTGTGTCTATTATATACGTTGGTTAGTTTTGGATGGAAACAAATTGATGCTCCAAGTATTTAGGTTTCATGCCTTCTTCGAATGTTAGAGCGGTGCTGACTGTTTGATTAATTGTTCTACTTGGGAACTTTAATAATCGCGTATGTATGAACATTTCTTTCGCCATTTTTACCGATTCTATGACCGACTACATCTGATTCCTGTAGCTCAACCAAACTAAGAGAAATAAAGAGACAAGAACTCATTAGAGCATCCATTCCTAACGAGGGATCATTAGGACAGTGCTCATCATTCCACAAGTGCCACTTTTTTTTCAGTCCGTGCATCTGAAGTGGAGAATTCATCCGACCTTCGGGCAACCATCTGAATTTGAACATCCACAGTTTGAAAGAGTAAAAAGGATATTTTAGCCGTTATTGGCTGGCGCGAAACCACACCAAGCAACTCGATAAGTGAGGAGATGACTGATTTATAGACTATTTTCGATACCTTCGACTGGAGTGGCGACCGTTGTAGCATTTTGAGACCATCCATCCATCCTTCAACCAAGGATAAACATTAAGACAAAAGGATGTTACAAATATGGAGGCCTAAGAGTGAAGCACGCGCGAATGCCAAGTTGGAAAACACCAACTTGTTTCGCCCGGACATGAATCCTTGCAAAGATGAGCACCATTCACACCAGGATTCAGACCGCGCGTTGATCAATAATAAACCAGGTAACTGGGAGTGAAATCAATTGACGAAACGCGCAAGTATCTTGTTAGGACGAGTAACTTAAAGCTACACTGCTGATTCTCTTTTTAGTTGTCAAGAAGTTCACGAGAAGACTGCGCCAGGCCCAACTGTACGACCCATCACCATTGTCTTTCATATTACGGGTTCCGAACAGAGTGGAACGGGTAAGTGTACTCCAGAAGGATTTCAGTAGTATTTTGGCTTGAGCTCACGGCTGAATCAAGCTCGGTTATTCCCGCATGCAAGTAGGATGTGCGGATACACGAAGGATCTTTTCTTTGTGGATCGAAATTCAACTAATAGCACCGACAAGAGCTATACAGCTGTCTCTGCTATCCTCGTAAAAGTGGCTATGATAGCAGCAAGTAAATCCATTTTAAAGATTGACGCCTCCTTCGATTGGAAAAAACGAAAGCACGGAGGAACGAGATCACAATGATATAAAGAAACATAATGATTTGAAATAAGTAGGACAAGAACATATTTCTCACCTGGAAAGGGGCCCACTAACGTGGAAGTTACAACCGAGTGTGATGATACTTGGACACTACTCGGGGAGCACGTGGTCTACCCCTGACTGTCTCAACCCATCTATATGTCCAAGCCCTCTTATGCATTACTTAGAAATGTGAGCCAAAAGATGTAGTCACGTAAAGCAGGGCTGTTTTTACATTTTCTTGTTTAGTCCAGCTAGTCACACGGCGTCCTAAGGCACATGCCCGTGTCGCAGCGCCTTGATTGGCCAGGATTTGGATTGCTCTGATTGGCTGCCGGATTTTATAGACGAAGCTCATTGGTTGGTTCGCTCTTCGGATCACTCGCCTAGCTTGATCCGGTGATATTCTGGCAACTGCAGTTCCCACACAGGTTGCATACCTGTGTTTTCGTTATTAAGAAAACCTTGGTTAAATACCTTAGAATTTAGGAAGCTAACAGGATTCCCTGTCAACAGTGTTTCAAGGAGAACATGTCCTTAAGTCATTGAGTGCTTGGACCAAATGTCTACAAAATACGAATTTTTCGAGACTACTGTTTTTCTCATCTTTGCTCTGAAACTTCAATTTAATTTTTAAACAAACGGACAGGTTACAGAGATGAGCTAAGCCTGTGGGACCTGTTCGTTATACGATTTTTCTTCGCGCCCTCAAAAGGTATCTTCGAAGCCTCACGATTCCAATGCCATCATGTTCTCGACTTGTTCGTTTCAGATAAAATACCGGCAGACGAGGCCCAACGAATCTCCATTACGACCGAACGACTGACTGCCCCGTCTGGCAAACAGGGCTTCCTATCCATGACAGTGCAAACATGCCTCAAAACTTTCGTTACTTCGTCACTTTACAACCAAATATTTTCATAATTTTTGTTCATATATTTTTCACTTAGTTTTTTATAACGCTAACAGAAATACCGTCCAGTAACACAGTACGCGCTCTCACGGTGAAGTTACTTGGGATTTCGTTCTTGGGTCTCATAGCTTTTCCACAATGATCTTCGCTGGACAGATCATCTGAGACGAATGATCCGAATGTCAAGGGGCAAACTGTTGGAAGGAGTATTAAATGGTAGCTGGTTTTTCCAGACGGGTTTCTAACCGTTCGCTGTCTAATCTCTCCAGTTTCGTCGACCGTGACAGCGTAGAAGCAGGGCGCAATCTGTCGAGTGGAAAATTTGCGTCCGTTGACGCAGTCAGAAAGTCTTCTGGTGTGAGTTTGCTCAGAAAGTTTGGAATGATAACGTATAGTATATAATCGTTCAGTTGTAATACCCTTTTTGGTGCCTAGCTGTCATACCACGAGAAAGCACGGGATTCACATGTTGCCATGTTGCTAACGTCTAGACAGGAGCAGTTGAAATGTCCGGATTGGACTCGGACCACGGACTTTTCGGTCGATAAGTGCGCGCCTTAACCAGTTAGCCATCTCCGGCTCGGTCCAAACCAGATAATCGAGAAAAAGAATTATAAAACTCCCGTAAATCATTTCAGTAGAAATATCCACTGACCCTAGATCGAGTGTACCCTTTTAGTGACCAGACTTCTCTGAGTTGCATCAAAGGCTTGCTTCGGAGCAAGCTCCAGTATCTCAATGGACTCGATAGCATCCGTTAAGGGATTTCGTATTTTCTTTTTTATTGTTTCCAAATACATCTCCAGTCATTTGAAGCCTCTTCTGAATACAAGTGGTATCCTAATCTAGGGTGGGTATTAGTCGAATTTCCAAATCATGCGCTGTAACATGAACTTTACTCAGTTCCCAAGAGTGTTCCTGATTTTTTCCCGCAACTTTCGACTGGCAATCGGGTGATGAGATTGTAAATGCTTCTGAGGAATGGCTACTCTACAGGGGCCCCTACTGGCCTCCTTGAGTCCGGGGTTGTTTGAACTGCAGTCCAAGTGTCACCCAACCATAAGCAACTGTCCTGTCGCACAGAAAAAAGAGAAATGGTGCATGCGCATCACTCAAGTGACAAAAGATTGTCAGCTGTTTTCCGAGCTATATGGTTCTTGTTCAGTCCGACGCTCAAGCGAGTAGTGTGTCTGACAGTCAGGGTGCACTACCATTCCACACTATTGTTAGGCCTTTACATCGCTGAGTCGGTAACGCACCTATTCACAGCCTTGCAGACGATAGAATTGCCTACATCTGATTTGTAACGCGATAACTTGACCGATAAGTCCGAAAACTCCATCATAAGTACACATGCTGGGCTAGCATCTGTCTTCCGAGTTGCCTATTCCGTCGAAATGTACCGATGGACCCCGTACGCATAAAAGACCGCCCCACATGCGACTTGTGCACACAAATGCATGTGGATGAACCAGCCTGCAGCTCACACAGTGTAGACCGGACTGAAGATCAATGAATCTCACCTCGTGAATCATCGCAGTCCATAAACACCAAAAAGCTCAATAGGTTTAGCCCGGCCGTTTGCAGGCCTGAATTGAAGCGGTCAAAAGATTGAACGCAGTAGTGCCACTGTTGACCTACTAAGTGGGTCCAGCCAATTTAACAACCCTACGGTCCATCGTGGTTAGTTATGAATTAATTTGGTTAGGCCAACAAGCTAAGGGTCACCAGTACAGACTCTGCTATCCCTATACAATCCAAACTCATCGGTGCTAACACGATCACTGATAAGGTGGACCCAACTAGTTCTACCACCTTGTCCAACAGATCTCAGAACACTCTTTTGCCTCGGACAGTTCTCTCCCTTGATACGGAGTAGTTTTGGAGTTCTCGTTGGAATGTCCACCTCTCCTGCAACCGAGTTTAAAGTATACCTGCAAAGAACGGAAATCGAAATTGGTCAGGCAGGAGCTTCAGAAGAGTGTCCTATTTGGAACGCCTGCGCTATGACTGTGTAACTTTCATTGCATAGACTACAGCTGAAGAAAGTCACAAAAAAGCGGTGTGGACCACCAGCCTGCCTGAAACCGGTGCGGCCGGGTTCAACTGCCCAGGTCCCGTTCAGATCCGCTAATGATGCACACTTGTATACCGAACCGCAGTAAACTTGCGGTTAAGGGGATAGACCGATCACTGGTTAGCATTAGCTAGCCGTATGGGCAGGTATTCTTCACTTGCAGAGCACGAGTTCCGTGGATTTGTCCGGAAGACCGAAATAGCAAGAAAACATCGGAAAATACGTGCCTTTGTGGAGACAATTGAGTAGGACAACGGGAACCCAGTTTATCAGTCGTCAGGCCGGTTGTCATTCACCACTCAAGAACGCAACATCAACACCTTCCGCCGTTGTCTGGCTCTCTATATGGGGAACAAAACTATCAGCGACTTCCCCGCTTTTTGAAACTTCCTTCACAGACCCCCCTCCTGTCTTGAGTGAACCATAAGATATCATGAAAATAAAACTCTTCCCCCCCTATGATCTACTCTTAAGGTCGATGAAAGCTCCGAACCGCCAAGATTCTTTTGCCACGTTTCTTAAATCTCATCAGGCAAACCTAGTTCCCGAGTTTCTATTAAACTAATGTTTTAAATGGACTTAAAAGAGCGTGCGGGGAGATCGATACTCATTTTCAAATTAGGTGAATCCAAGTTTAGTCATTTATTCGTCAAGCCCTTCGAGCATCGTCCGTCAAGACGTCTGCACTTTTCTCGAAGCAACCACCAAAAATAAAACAACAAAGCGCCACTTTGATCTGAATATCTCCATCGCAAGAGAAAACCATTGGCTTTCATAAAGGAGACTACTCACAAGGTTGCTGAAAACTCTTCGACAGCCCACGACCGGTTTCGCCCTTCCAATTCAGGTAGGCGCAGTCCCCGAGTTTCCGTTAACCTTATGTTCTAGTTGAACCGAAATTGGACTGTTTTCGAGAAATACACTCATTTGCAAATCAATTTGGTTTTCATGAGAGAGGATATTTCAAACACGGGTTCAAAGTAGGACATAAGGTTGACGGAAACTCGGGGACTGCGCCTACCTGATGAGCCAACCCCAAGAAGAGCGAAACCGGTCGCGGCTGTCGAAGAGTTTTCAGCAAACTTTCAGGAACAGGAAATACAAAAAGGTCGGTAACGGCTTCGATTTTTGTTGGAAAGGAGGGAAAAACGGTGAGTCTGAATTTACAAATCAATCAGAAGATAATGTAGTCGGTGGTGGAACGGCAGTCGNAAACCAAATTGATTTGCAAATGAGTGTATTTCTCGAAAACCATTGGTTCTTTTTCGGATTTGATTCCCACAATCCCAGGACATTGCGCTATCGATCCTTCTCAATGGTGTCTTTTGATTCATGCGAAACTGGTGCATTGTGTTCAGGGTGCGGAACACTGTCAAGACCACCCAGCTCCCTCTCTCCGCCATTCGCCTGGGAACTTTCGAATCGATTGTTCGCAATTGGTACTGATTCGACATGAGTGCCGGAAGAGATCGAAGGTCCTACTGAGGCCAACCGGAAATAAGTAGAAACCTACTTCAGCTTTGTCATCATTCTCCACGTGTCTTCGAACGGAACCAAGTCTGCATCTGTGTGAACACTCGGAAGAGACTCAGTAACCCATTGAATGAGGCTGTGCGAGCCGAGGAATTGTCAAATCAAAACATTCTTTGTCTCTTTGGTCCTCAAGAAGAAACGGCGCGTGGCCGCTGCGTGTTCTGGTATGATAATCGAATATCTGGTTTAGCCACACGGCGTTTATTCACCACACAAATGGGATTCTAAACCATCGTGACATCAGCCACTGTTTTTCTAAGTCAAGCCAATAGCAAGTGAAGCTATCTGGACCGTCAAGATCGTACCTCCGGACATCGCTTCCTTCCATTGATGGTTGCGGCACCAGTGTTCTCCTGTTGACTTGACTGTTCACGCTTTATCTGAACTCTAGCCAAACCTTGGGGGCTTCCTCGCGTTCGTTGGAAACGGCTGTCCTGAAGTGCGAGTTGAGGAGACTTCCATATCTGTTTCACATCGAGTGCACAACTTGCGGTCGATTCACCTTGTACTCCATTCGAAGACATTAGTCAGGTGATTGCTCGACCAAACTTATCCAGGCCTCCTTACAGGCACAGGCCACTTCTCTACCCATCACAACTAACGAGGGATTGAACGCGATCATTCGATCGATTCAGATGAATTACATTGAGTCCTCATATAATGATCACTCTTGGTGAACAAGAAAAAGTGGTCTCCATCTAGGAGTTACCTCTACATGAATGGGACAGATTTTTTAGCACTAAATTGTTTTGTCCTTCACTTACTTGTACGACTTCGAGTGGATAAATGTACAAGTTACCCCTCACAACGACCTTACGAATGCGTGACTCGTTTCCATCATCATCAGAGACAGCAACATCGGTGTTGACACTGATGCTTCACTGCCGTACAACCGCAAAGTTTATCTACTTACATTTCAACCCTTAACAATGAAAAGAAAAGGGTGGGTGAGATGAGACCTGGAGCTGACCTATCGCATTTTGAGGTGTCTTCAAGCGATCAATCGGACAACCTGGAAAGAAACTGACAGCACGAACGCCACTGACATCAATCAGCCTCCAACCAAGTGCAGGGGCCAACGGGACCCCGTCTTGCACCTGCAACACCGTAACCCCCTTCTGCCAATTCACACGTTGTCCAACTTGTGGTTTTCGCCATTCTGAAGGAGACACGGAGAACAACATTCATCTCGGTAGACGGTTTTTAGGCACACGTAGAACATGGCCGAGTCGCCGCAGTTGATGGCCCTCGATTGAGGTACCTGCTGCACACCAGTGTCACCCAATATAGTTCAATAGGTAAAGAAGACGCGCAAACCGCACCAACACGGTAAGGTCCAGTCTCTTCGTGACTGCCTTGCAAAGTTCACCTTTTTCAAGAGCTATACATTGATACGGACCCACTCTCATAATCGACGGGCCCGTCGATCAACACACTCTAGCCAGTTTATTTAGGAAAATAAACCACCCTTCCGGTGACAGAGTACAATTCACAGTCGTTTTTCTGCAGATATTTTGTGGCACTTTCCTGAAACTAACCTCAGAACGCCGGAACCTACTGAGACTCTAAGACTGCACCAAAATCTCAATAGAAA